AGTCCCTATGTTTAGACAGAGCATGGTAAATCCAAATAGGAGTCCCTTGAAATAGAGAGTCGGGGCTTTGTACTTGAAAAGTCGTTTTGGGTCTCAGGCACAACAACGGTGGGTTGCTTATTATGCCATTAATTATGCAAAACTTCTCAACCAGTGAGGTTTGGCGGCCTCCTTTTTGAGAAAACATGTTGCTTTTAGAGACACCGAATGTATCCAGAATCGGGAATCATGTGGGCCACCCGAAAGGGAACATGAGTATGACAGGGACAACAGCTTCCTTGCTGCGGCATCAGAAGAAAGTCTACATGCTTCACACAACCACACACACAAAAAAAAGAAGACAACAGAACAGATCTCAACAAATTGGCAGAATCCCTTCGGTGACACAAAGCACTACATCATGTTGTGTGTTGTTCTCCTTTTGGGAGCCTTCCAGAGCCTTACTGATGGGTGTGTGAAGAAAACAGTCTTGAGTCTTGACCCTTCAAGAGCGTGATGTGCTGTTGTTCGGGTCGCCGTTATGGGGGGTTCCCTTTCCCTTGCGCACAGGTCGGAGAGTCTGAGCTCGGCTGTGGCCAAGACCAAGTTACGGTTGGTGAGCTTGTGGGGTGGCCAGCTGGACCTGTTGTGCAGCACCTTGCCCTGGCAGCTGCCAGAGTGATTTGATGTTTGTTGCTGAGAACAAATGTATGCTGTAATATACTGTATAGATACTATATATATATATATGTTTTTACGGCACAAAGTTTTGCTGGTTGCATTTTTCAGTGAAAAGCAACCGTAGTCAAGTCAGAAGTTGTAAACATGTGCTCAAAATCCATGGATGGGGCAAGACGCCCTTTGGACACCTAAAGACGTCGTTTAGACGCCGTCTTTTTTGGTTTCTCACCTCGCTGCCACAACATTTGCCGGTGTTTGCCTTGTCACAGCGGAAAAACGCAATCTTTGGGAAAAGACACCTTAACGATCCTTAACGGCATTTTTTCCTGAAAATAGGCTTTTTTTGCATTTCGATGTCTTATGATCCGTGCATATAATACGAACTAGTAGACCTTGGACCAAGTTGCAGAGAGTTCCGCATTTACATACCCCAACCATTGCTGTAAAGAAATAGGTGCGTAGTCTCGATCTCAATCCACAATTGGTCGCGGAAAAGAGTGTTGTGTGTTTTTCTCGTTCATGCATGTCCGTGATCCCTTGAGTAGAATGAGTTGGACAAAAATCAGATCACCGGAAGATTTGGTTAATTTTGGTTCTGTTTTTTGCCTTGGCGGATCACTCCTGGATCGCCGGATCACCTTTATCTGGGGATGGCATCGACAGAGGGGCAAACGGCTCAGCTCCACCAGCCGAGGCAACGGCTCGGGTGTCATGGCGGACAGAGGGAAACGGCAACGTCAACGGCACTGCTGGTCGGATCGAACTTCCCCCTGTGACACAAGGTACAGGATCCACTAAGCCTATACAAGCCCTAAATGCAAAGGAACATTCCGAGGGCTGTTTGGCTATTCTCAAAGTCTTGAAATGCCCAGCACATGTCATGTTGACATGCCTCGTGCCTTATACCTCTTCGAGGCCCCTATGGACTCTTCGTGATTCTTCGCACTCGAGTGCAAAACCTGGCGTTTGTTTCCCTCACATTCGCACATGGTAGTTGATTGAAAGGTCGACATACGGCCTATGTCATCAAGAAGAACAATGTTTTGATCAACCACATCATGTTGGGACTTCAGCTCACCGGGTCTCCCAGGTGCCAAGGCCACGAGCACGACCGTGGGGGTTTACCCCACTGGCTCCAATTACCTCACGTTGGACGGGCAGGTCTCCCTGCTGGCATTGTCGCTTGGAGACCGAAGAAAGAACCAGCTGAACCTTTGGAACACCTTGGATACAGGACTTCTTCATGTCTCTTCCATCCACAGTGGTAGAGTCGAACATGCTTATCCATTGAGATTATTGATGGAGTGTTACAATTGTATGGTGTCTCCTTTATGTTGTGGAGAAAGGTTTCGGCCGCATTCATACACACATCATGTGACTACGTCCATAAGTGCTTTTGGTGCTTGTGACGACTGTGAAGCTTCTTCAATTTTGGTGAATGCCTGTGTGAGAATATTGTGTGCATGAGTGCATGTGTGTATTGCCCCAACCGACGTGACCTTGCTTGCCATTTAGGAGATTCAAGTCCAAAACGTGTTGCCAATCGCAACCAGCTTGTTTGAAGGTAAGACGCCCTTATTTTCATGAAAAGCAAACTGTACAGTTGATCCACCTGGAAGTGGGACTTGCACAAACTTCCTGGATCCTCAGTCCCTGGACAGGGTCCAAGCACACCAGGTCTAGACTTCCTGACACCCGGAGGAGATATAGATTTTCTGCTTTTTTTGTTTTTTAGGTCGCTCTGCCCTCCAACCTAATAGCGATGGCCTCCAACCTAATAGCGATGGCCACATGCCCTCCAACCTAATAGCGATGGCCTCCAACCTAATAGCGATGGCCACATG